GCCATCTGGACAGTAAGTCAGCCTCTGATAGCCATCTGGACAGATATCCTCTGATAGCCATCTGGACAGTTAGTCAGCCTGTGATAGCCATCTGAAAAGTTTGCCTCTGATAGCCATCTGGACAGTCAGTCAACCTCTGATAGCCATCTGGACAGATATCCTCTGATAGCCATCTGGACAGTTAGTCAGCCTCTGATAGCCATCTGGACAGTTAGTCAGCCTCTGATAGCCACCTGGACAGTTAGTCAGCCCCTGATAGCCACCTGGACAGTTAGCCTCTGATAGCCATCTGGACAGTTACTCGGCCTCTGATAGCCATCTGGACAGTTAGCCCCTGATAGCCACCTGGACAGTTAGCCTCTGATAGCCATCTGGACAGTTACTCGGCCTCTGATAGCCATCTGGACAGTTACCTAGCCTCTGATAGCCATCTGGACAGTTAGTCTCTGATAGCCATCTGGACAGATAGCCTCTGATAGCCATCTGGACAGTTAGTCGGCCTCTGATAGCTATCTGGAAAGTTAGCCTCTGATAGCCATCTGGACAGTTACTCAGCCTCTGATAGCCATCTGGAAAGTTAGCCATCTGGACAGATAGCCTCTGATAGCCATCTGGATAGATAGCCTCTGATAGCCATCTGGACAGTTAGTCAGCCTCTGATAGCCATCTGGAAAGTTAACCTCTTATAGCCATCTGGACAGTTAGCCTCTCTGATAGCCATCTGGACAGTTAGTCAGCCTCTGATAGCCATCTGGAAAGATATCCTCTGACAGCCATCTGGACAGTTAGTCAGCCTCTGATAGCCATCTGGACAGTTACTCAGCCTCTGATAGCCATCTGGACAGTTACTCAGCCTCTGATAGCCATCTGGACAGTTACTCAGCCTCTGATAGCCATCTGGACAGTCAGCCTCTGATAGCCATCTGGACAGTTATTCAGTCTGATAGCCATCCTGACAGTTATTCAGTCTTATAGCCATCTTGACAATTACAGTTAGCCTCTGATAGCCATCTGGACAGTTAGCCTCTCTGATAGCCATCTGGACAGTTAGCCTCTCTGATAGCCATCTGGAAAGTTAGCCTCTGATAGCCATCTGGACAGTTAGTCAGCTTCTGATAGCCATCTGGAAAGTTAGCCATCTGGACAGATACCCTCTGATAGCCATCTGGAGAGATGGCCTCTGATAGCCATCTGGACAGTCAGTCAGCTTCTGATACCCATCTGGACAGTCAGTCAGCCTCTGATAGCCATCTGGACAGTTAGTCAGCCTCTGATAGCCATCTGGACAGTTAGTGAGCCCTGATAGCCACCTGGACAGTTAGCCTCTGATTGCCATATGGACAGTTACTCGGCCTCTGATAGCCATCTGGACAGTTACTCAGCCTCTGATAGCCATC